ACTCGACATGATGACTGGTATCAGTAGCAACTTTTTCAGGCCGTTTGGCCTCGTTTTTTATTCCTTTTCGCTGGTTATTTTTGTTAAAACTCTAGAAAATGATTTTTCTCAACCATATGAATAAAAATCAACAAAAACAATCATGTATTGAATCTCATTTGCTCATTTAAAGTGTGAGTTTTAAAACCACTAAAAAATCTTAAAAAACTTGAAATTGGATCTTCATAACTAAAGTATGAGGCATAAGGCTACCGACGTTCAATAAATGGCATAATCGACCTATTTTCACACTTTTTTTTCACATTTTTCTTCACATTTTTGGCATAATAAAATAAAACTCATTTTATTTTAYTTATCTTTTTCATTTTTTTCATACTTATTTCTTTACGCCATTTTTGGGGGTGTCACTGTACACGTTAACATTTAGGGTATGTCTCATTTGGAAGTGGACAAGCATTTAGGAGGTAGTTATCGTGTCATTTAGGTATACATTTCTTTCTTTCTTAATGAAATCAATCKATAATTGTATCCTCTACTCTCAATTCCAAAGAGGAAAAAAAATTCAAGCATATCATCAATTATAAAAAYAATCCATAAATTATCCACCAGCCAACCGTTCATTTTGAATTATTTATATCATTAATTGGAAAAAACCTATCATTAAATATACATACATACATATATATATATATATATATATATATATAGACTTGGGATCATGTGAGACCAAGAGTTTTTCGTGAGACCCGTAAGACCAATTCTCAACCCTTGTATTAGATCTATAATTTGAACATTCATAAACACATAATTGCCATTAGACTTCTCAATAATCACAAAATTGTCATCATACAACTTTAGACTATTAGATCATTAGCTTATAAAGTTGATCAATGAACATAAATTGGTCTTACGTTTCTCACGAAAAATATTTGGTCTCACGTGAATGTTCAGATTTTCAGATTGTAGATCCAATACAAGAGTTGAGAATTTGTCTTACAGGTCTCACGAAAAACCCTTAGTCTCACATGATTTCAAGTCTCCCTCCCTCTCTCTCTTTATATATATATATATATATATATATATATATATATATACGTGTGTGTGTGTGTGCGTGTGTGTTTTGAAAAATTCACTAATTAAATTCTACTAATCATTTGAATACGATTTGTTGATTATCATAACTAACATTAGCTTTGTCTGATTAAAAAAGTTACTAAATTGGTGTTTTTATTCATACCCATTTCTACGTGAGACACAGGAGCGAGGGAGGGGGTAAGAAATGAGTTGGCATCTCGTATATGAATTAAGAGGGGAAAGGGTATGAATAGCAACCTCCAGATCATTTATTTAGATAATATATGATTGACAWAATTATTCGTTACAGTATACATTAAATATTAAATAAAAGAAAACTGCATTAATTCTCTAAATTTAGGAAAAAAAGTTGAAATCAGATCCCAAATGAGTAGAAAAATAACATATTCAATATTAGAAAAATATTTTAATGTACCAATGTATCAACCTGACCAACCCGACTAACCCTATCAATACGTACGGTTTGGGTTGGGTTGGGTTGGTTGAAGCTTTTTCAAACCACAAACATTAAGTTGAGTTGTTCAAATGTCTTCAATCTGATCACCCCAACCCATGACTCCATGAGCACCCCTAATGATAATGGCATGCTGCAACTTTTGGCATCCCAAAGACATACTGTAGCTTGCGACATCGCAAGAAAAAGTGTCTTGTAACGCTGAATTACG